TGACATTAGGAAGTTCCAGAATAGGGAAGTTCCTACATTAAAAGTTTCTCATTCATTTTAATGTTGACCAGCCAGCGTTTGTACCAGAATGATCAAATAAAAGCACTGATGTCCCCTGTGTAGAAGCTTTTAGGAAAAGGAAGAATTACAGAAGCAGTGACATGACGGCAGTGAAAAGCACCTGGGCTTTTTAGCTGGCTTCCATGCATAAAGGCTGGAATGACCCATAATCCTTGGAATATTTTTTTCCTTTTCAAGATGTGTTTTGGAATTCTTTAAAGCCTCCATTTGCCAAAACTAAATAATGAAACTTCTCTAGAAATGATGAAAGGGATGCTTGGTAGCTGCATAGGTGATAAATTTTACATCTTATATTAGTTTGTAAAAGTGAGTTTCATTCATTTTTTTAATTTTTGGCTCAAAATTTTACAACCGTTTTAAACTTTAGTGCCAGGAAATCTAAAAAAGTATTTACAGAGGAGGAGAGTAGAAGGCACTGGGTGAAGCTCAGTCAGTTAAGCGTCTGACTTTGGCTCAGGTCATGATCTCATGGTTCATGAGTTGAGCCCACCCCATTGGACTCACACTGACAGTCACGAGGAGGCGGATCCTCTCTCTCTCTCTCTCTCAAAATAAGTAAACTTAAAAAAAAAAAGTAGAAAATTCTCTACCTATACTTATCCAGTTTCAATGAACTCACAGCCAGCTGAGTCTTTTTTCTTAAGCTTATTTATTTTGAAGCTGGCCTTTCAATGAGGGAAGGACAGAGAGAGAATCCCTAGCAGGCTCCACACTGCAAAGCCCAATCTGGGGCTTGAACTCATGAACCACGAGACCATGACCTGAGCCAAAGTCAGATGCTTAACCAACCCAGGTGCTCCATCTGAGTTTTATCTATACCTCATTTATTCCCCTCACCTTTTATTAGTATGAAGCAAATCCTAGACATTGTTTCAACCATTGATTCTTCTAGTATAAATCTCTAAAAACATAAACTATAACTATTACTACTATCATGCTAAAAATATTAGCAATAGTTCCTTAGTATCATTAAATAGGGAGCTACCAGATCCAACCTTGTAATGTTACCAAAAAGAAAAAAAATCAAACCTGAATCTCCCGAAGCCTCCAGACCCAACCCCCACTTCACAGGAAGTAACAGAGGACAGGGGACCAAGTTCACTTGGGAGCTATAACATGGGAATGCAGTCAGCAACCAGACCACAGGAAATTCTACAGAACAATTGACCTGCTTCATTCAACAACCGAATGATCAGAAACAACGAAAGGAGGCAGGACATGGAGGGGTCACCACCTATAGATCGAGACACTCAGGGGACCTATCATGCAGTCCCAATGTGTGGACTGGATCCGATCCTAATTCGAAGAAACAAATGTAAAAAGGAACAAGACACATTGATGAGACTCCTTCAGAAAGGCATCTCCTGACTATGTAACCTAAATCCTTTTCCCTGATTACTATCACGTCATCCTGCTTTACTCTCTTTGTAGTACTAAAACTATCTGAAATTAAACTATTTTAATAAACACCCATCAAGTGTGATCTTCCAATCCATGAACATTGGATGTCCATTTATTTAGATTGTGCATTTCCTTAAACAATGTTTTACAGTGTTCAGAATGTTTTGCACTTGCTAAATTTATTCCTGAGTATTATATACTCTTTTTGATGTTACAGAAAATGGAATTTTCTTGCATCCATTTTCTGATGGTTCATCGCAAAGGTGTAGAAATAGGTTTTTGTTTTTGTATTGATCTTGTATCCTCCAACTGTGCACCCATTCGTTAGTTCTAATAGTGTTCTAGTGGATTCCTTAGGATTTTCTATATATACCTGACCATGTTATCTGCAGATACAGTTTTACTTCTCCCTTTCCAGTCTAGATACCTTTGATCTCATTGTCTTGCCTGACTGACCTGGCTAGAAACCACATATGCCTTTTGAGATTCATCCACATTGCTGCATGCGTTGGTATAAGCATTCTTAAGTCTTTTTCATGGACTGATATTTTCAGCTCTTTTGGGTAAATACCTAGGACCGGAATTGCTAAACCATAACATTAGTGTATATTTAACTTACTGACAAATTGCCGAACGGTTTTCCAAATTACCATTTTATACTCCCACCAGCGATACATTAAGAGATCTATTTGCTCTAGATCTTTTCCACGTTCTTTTTGTTAGCCCTTAAATTTTAGTAATTCTAGCAGCTACGGAGCAGCGTCATATTGTGATTCCAATTCGCATTTCTCTGATGACGAACAATGGTGGTCAAGTTTTCACATGCTTATTGGCCATCCGTGTACCCTCCTTTGTAAAGTATCCGTCCACGTGTTTTGCTTTCTTTACA